TTGGTCAGGAACTGACCAATCAAAAACGAACTTTCTTATTTTAAGACTTTTGGTCGTTTTGAGTGAACTTTGCCATAGGTTATCGAGGGCCCTGAATCTGAATCCATTGCCAATTTCGGTTGCCGAGGTCTCATTAGTTGAAAACCGACCAATCAGAAACGAAATTTCTTATTTTAAGGCTTTTGACCTTTTTGAGTGTACTTTGCCATAGGTTATCGAGGGCCCTGAATCCGAATCCATTGCTCATTTCGGTGGCCGAGGTTTCATTGGTCAGGAACTGACCAATCAAAAACGAACTTTCTTATTTTAAGGCTTTTGACCTTTTTGATGGAACTTTGCTATAGGTTATCGAGGGCCCTGAATCCGAATCCATTGCCCATTTCGGTGGCCGAGGTTTCATTGGTCAGGAACTGACCAATCAAAAACGAACTTTCTCATTTTAAGACTTTTGGTCGTTTTGAGTGAACTTTGCCATAGGTTATCGAGGGCCCTGAACCCGAACCCATTGCCCATTTCGGTGACCGAGGTTTTATTGGTCAGGAACTGACCAATCAAAAACGAACTTTCTTATTTTAAGACTTTTGGTCGTTTTGAGTGAACTTTGCCATAGGTTATCGAGGGCCCTGAATCTGAATCCATTGCCAATTTTGGTTGCCGAGGTCTCATTAGTTGAAAACCGACCAATCAGAAACGAAATTTCTTATTTTAAAGGCTTTTGACCTTTTTGATGGAACTTTGCTATAGGTTATCGAGGGCCCTGAATCTGAATCCGAAGCCCATTTTTTTGGCCGAGATTTCATTGGTCAGAAATCGGTCAATCAGAAATGAGCTTTTTCATTTTAAAACTTTTGGTCGTTTTGAGTGAACTTTGCTATAGGTTATCGATGGCCAGGATTCCGAATCCGAAGTCAGTTTTTTTGGCCGGGCTTTCATTGGGTGAAATCCGGCCTATCAGAAACCAGCTTTTTTATTTTAAGGCTTTTCGACGATTTGATGAAACTTTGCTATAGGTTATCGAGGGCCCTGAATCCGAATCCGAAGCCCATTTCTTTGGCCGAAGTTTCATTGGTCGGAAACCGGCCAATCAAAAAGGAACTTTTTTATTTTACGGCTTTTGGCCGTTTTGATCGAACTTTGTTAGAGGTTATCGAGGGTGAGAAATCCGAATCTGGAATCAGGATTCCAAAATTCAGATCTCGAATCTATTCGTTCTATGAGAAGTGATGTTGAGAAACAGCAAGTACTTTGTAATACGTGACAGTAGTGTAATGAATCAAGAAATACGAAGATAAGATGGAATTAGAGTGCTTGTAGAACAAAGATTGAGGAATGAGAGCGAGTTACGCAAAAAAATTATTTAGATTGACAGGGTACAACGGCTGTGTCCACTTATTAAGAAGATTTCAGATTATCGGTAAATCTATACTAACGTGTCCTCTTCCTGAATACTGATAAGCTTCCAAAGAAAATTTCTAATGTGGATGAATTTTTTTGTAAAGGATCAAACTTTCCATCAGTTTTTTAAATAGGAACGATGGCTCGATTTTGAAAATGGTATCAACCTTTCGTGAGTGAAAGTAGCTGGAAGTAGCGGATAGCCGTGAATGGCGTTCCTTCGGAAGGACGGCGAACGAATAGCTGCCTCCAAACTAGGTTTATTCAAAATCTGTTTTACGACATTTCTGCATAACATCAAGCAAGGTCCTTAAAAAAGTGCCACAGAGACTTAACATGTGACATTTTATGTAGAGAAGGACTCCTATAAACATGGAGAAACTCGAGAGACGACACGTATATATTTAATAGATATCTTGCTGGATATAGGAAATCTAGTACCCTTTAGTTACGAGTAGAGAAGCTTTTGAAGCAGTCGAAATGTGGATTAGTCATGCCTTGAATAAGAAAGTAGTCATTTGAGAATATGTGTTCAAAGAGAGTAGTAGCTAAATGTGAATAGCGCCACGTCTGAAATCCGACAGTGAAATATAGTAGCTTCTATTTCTATTTCACAATTTTTTTGGTATGAGATATGGTCTATTAAGCTAGTTTTTTGTGTGAAATCATATACTTAAGCTTCTTTCGATGGCGAGCTCCATAAAATCTTAGATTGACTAGCTAGGTAAAGGATTGGAACGCATAAGGAATAGTTCACAAGTATTTTCACTTTGGGATTTCTCATGCGATAAATATAGGCAGCTTTGAAACTAATCCAAATCTAGAATCCAGTAAAATTTAAATAACAGTGCATGATCATATAATTACTGGAAGAGAACGATGCATAACAGCAATTAGTCGCGCGTGACGACCCACTCGGATGCCGACGAGTGACTAGCTGCTGCCCTAAAAAATCCCTTGAATAGAATTCTTTTAAACTTCTAATCCATTGGAAGGATCTCTAGCACTTAGATCTTACTAGGATTCATGGGAGGAAGAACTGGCAAGAGGGTTAACAAGTGTATTTGAATGAAGTGTGAGAACGAGTGTGTTGGAGATCTTCAATATCGGAATCGAACATTTCCTGAAAAGCGTCAATAATACAATTTGCATCGAATCATCAAAAGTGGACTTGAATGGAATTTAATAATCCTTTATCTTCATAGATACGTCATCTGCCCATTGACTTGTCAAATTTTTTTTCCGGCTATTTAAAATTCGTTATTTAATCTCACAAAGACTCAGAGTTGAAGCCTGATTCAACTTGCGTATGCCGGATATTAGTTTGAACAAATATAGCTTTTTAGTCTGATAGCTACGCTAAACATGCATTTTCGTAGTGGGTACCGGTCAGCGATATTGCCCGCCTATGTGTTTATGAGTATGCGCATTATTAATACAGTTTGCGTGAAGTGTAGTGCATCTTTACTGCAGTCACCCTGATATTCTTTGTCTGCTGATTTTCTCTCAAAATCGAATATACTATTTTTTCGTGGTTTGAGGATATTGCTGTGTCAGTGTGGGTCACGTAGATTTCTTTTGAGTGTTATTGATAGAGTAACAGATTAAATGAACGAATATTATAGCTAGCAGTATTACAACGGTACCAATAGCATTATACACGCCGACACATGTGTACACTAATGTTGACACTAGCACAAAGCCATGTGCAAATGCCCGATGCTACCTTTTGCAAAATGTCTGCAGTAATAAACAACTGCCGATGCAGTGAAACATTCAGTCGAGGGTTAAGCGAGTCACACAGACGAGCGTTACTTGTTTTTAACAAATTAATTTTTTTTAATAGATTTTGTTTCCGCTGTTAATAATATAGCACCAATAACACCAAGTGATATGCCAACATTTAGATCAATAGACTCACGTTCATCATTAATTCAAAATACTCCGGATGGAGCAAATGAAGAAATAACTCGTTTACATCAACCATATGCACAACTTCTTCAAACAAATCGAAAGTGAATTAAATTAATTTTATTTTCTATTAACAAAAGAATTCAATTTTTTTTCTCTTCTAAAGTCAACTTAGTCGATTAATTAGTATTGAAAATGATAATACTACTAAATTATATGAATCATCATTAAATCAACAAGCAGAAAACTCATCAAGGTAAATCTTTTATTCAATTTTCATTGCATGTAGAATAGTTCATTTCTATATTGGTTATTTGAATATACGTTTTTATTC